AGATGAGATGAGGATGAAGAAGGAGAAGAAGAAGAGGATGAGGATGAAGAAGAAGAAGAAGAAGAGGGTGAGGATGAAGAAGAAGGAGAAGAGGATGAAGAAGAAGAAGAAGAGGATGAGGATGAAGAAGAAAAGAAGAAGAGGATGAGGAAGAAGAAGAAGAAGAAGAAGAGGATGAGGAAGAAGAAGAAGAGGATGATGATGAAGAAGAAGAGGATGAGGATGATGAAGAAGAATAGGATGAGGATGAAGAAGAAGAGGATGAAGAAGAAGAAGAGGATGAGGATGAAGAAGAGAAAGAAGAAGAAGTAGGATGAAAATAAGAGGAATTCCAGTCCAGCAAAAAGTGTCCCTGCAGAGAGCTCCGCTATTTCTTTGACAGTTCTCTGACAGTTCCTGACATTTACAGCGGTTGCAACATTGTATCTATTTGTTTCCGAATAAAAACATCTGTATCCTAAATGGAAACAAATAGATACATTGTTGCAACCTCTATAAATGTCAAGGAACTGTCAGAGAACTGTCAAAGAAATAGCGGAGCTCTCTGCAGGGACACTTTTTGCCAGCTGTAGACGGGATGAAAATCGGCCGATTTTTTTTTACTATTGATGGTAACGTCGGCCGCTTGAAACGACCGATTTTTCATTTTTTAAAAAAAAATCGGCCGTTTTTTTTCGATCCCATCTATGGCCTGCATAATGCAGTGCCATAGATGGGTCAAAATCGGCCGATTTTTCTTTTAAAAATACGAACAATCGGTCGTTCAAGTGGCCGACATTTACCACCAATGGTAAAAAAAAATCGGCCGATTTTCATCCCGTCTACAGCCGGCAAAAAGTGTCCCTGCAGAGAGCAACAAATAGATACAATGTTGCAACCGCTGTAAATGTCAAGGAAGTGTCAGAGAACTGTCAGAAATATCAGAGCTCTCTGCAGGGACACTTTTTTGCTGGACTGGAATTCCTCTTATTTTCATCCTCTTCTTTTTCTTCCTACTTTCATCCTTCTTTTTCATCCTCATCCTCTTCTTCTTCATCTCATCCTCTTCTTCTTTCATCTCATCCTCTTCTTCTTCATCATCCTCTTCTTCATCATCTTTCTTCATCATCCTCATCCTCTCATTCATCCTCTTCTTCATCCTCATCTTCTTCTCTTCTTCATCCTCATCCTCTTCTTCTCCTCATCCTCTTCTTCTTCTTCCTCATCCTCTTCTTCTACTTCTTCATCCTCATCCTCTTCTTTCCTCATCTTCTTCTTCATCCTCATCCTCTTTCTTCTTATTTAATCCTCATCCTCTTCTTCATCTTCATCCTCATCCTCTTCTTCTTCATTCATCCTCATCCTCTTCTTCTTCCTCCTCATCCTCTTTTCTTCATCCTCTTCCTCTTCTTCTTCATCCTCTTCCTCTTCTTCTCTTCTTCATCATCATCCTCTTCTTCTTCTTCATCATCATCCTCTTCTTCTTATTATTCATCCTCATCCTCTTCTTCTTCATCCTCTTCCTCATCCTCTTCTTCTTCCTCATCCTCTTCTTCTTCTTCTTCTTATTCATCCTCATCTTCTTCTTCTTCCTCATCCTCTTCTTCTTCTTCTTCATCCTCTTCTTCTTCCTCTTCTTCTTCTTCATCCTCTTCTTCATCCTCTTCCTCTTCTTCTTTTTCTTCTTTTTGTCTTCCTCCTTTGCAGGTCACTGCTCATGCGCGCAGATTTTTTATCGGTAAAAAATTGGCCGATTAGCCCATTATTGCCGCGAAAATCGGCCGATCGTCCGATTTTTTCCAACTTTACCAAAAAAAAAAACGGCCAAAATCCCGAAAAAAACGGCCGAACAAATAGCCCACTAACGATCCGAAAATCGGCCGATTTTATTTTCGGCCAAAAAAACGGCCGATTTTCGACCCATCTATGGCCTGCATAAATCTATGTTCTGTAGCATTGCACTAAGCAGGCATGCAAACTCTGTCTTTTTTCCTGGCCATTTTCATAGTGACAGAGCCTCGCACCGTCACAATCTATACACAAATGTTTTGCCTTTCATTTCTATTTTAAATTAAATGGGTTGTTTTACAAGATGAGGGTTCACATATACTTTAATTTTAATCTTTTATGTAGAACCTTTTTTTCCACACAGAAAGGATCCTGTAGTAAACGCTCCACAGTTTTGCTAGGCATTCTCTTTTAGAGACTAAGCTAACGTGGACACTCTAAAAACCATGTATTTTAATAAAGAAGACATCCAACTGAGTTCATACTGTATTATTTTGTGTATCACATTATAGTCTGAGTATGGCTATTAGTAAAAAATATAGTTTCATTAAAACTGACAGTAAAACCTTCTGTCTATAGGCACACACAAATTATGTGAGACACAAAAATGCCAGATTAACATAAACCATGAAGAGATAATTAATAAACAACATTATTCATCTAGGTTTAAAGTTGCAGTGCTTGAAAAATAATATAGAACAGGTTAATGAACCAAATAATTACACAATTACATTGTTTAGTAACTGGGCCTGATCTACTTTTACTGATTTAGAGCCGAAAAAAGTGTTCCTTAATTTATATTTGTGCTTGTACACAGTGGTCAAAGGGAGGAGACAAAGGGACAGGTCCTTCTGTACAGAACATGCTTTACTTTTGAGAAAATTATTTAGTTAATGCTGCATACAATGAAAGCTGATCCCTCTTCTTATGCTAAATCTAAGTAATGTTTCTCAGAATTGCATAATGTTAAAGCACTGTGGTACTTCAAGCAAGACTGGCTGTGGATGTAAATAAAACATGTCCTGGTTGCCATTGGTAACCTCCTGAAAATGCTAGTTGCTTGACCACTTATACCCCATTCCTGCCCGAGGCCAATTTTCAGCTTTCAGAGCTGTTGCACTTTGAATGACAATTGCGTGGTCATGCAACACTGTACCCATATGAAATTTTTATCATTTTCTTTTGGTGGTATTTAATTACCGCAGTTTTATTTTTTGCGCTATAAACAAAAAAAGAGCAAAAAATTTGAAAAACAAGTTTTTCTTGTTCCTATTATAAAATTTTGCAAACAGGTAATTTTTATCCTTCACTGATGTGCGTTGATGAGGCTGCACTGATAGGCAGCATCGATAGGTGGCACTGATAGGCAGCACTAATGGGCACTGATAGGCAGCACTGATAGGTGCCACGGATGAGATGGCACTGATCATGCTGCACTGATATGCAGCAATGATGGGCACTGATAGGTGGCACTGACTGATGGCACTGCTGGGCAGCACGGATGGTGGGCACTGCAGGGCACTGGTGGGTGGCACTGCTGGGCACAGGTGGGTGGCACTACTAGGCACTGATGGGCACAGGTGGGTGGTACTGATGGACACAGGTGGGCAGCACTGATGGATGGCACTGATCATCAGGGCACTGATCACCAATGCCCTGCTGAGCGGTGCCGATCCGTCCTCTGACAATTGCCGGTTATCGGCAGTACTTTCTTCACGCTGTGACAGCGCGAGGAAAGTGCAGCCGATACCCGGCAACTGCATTTACTGGTGATCTGCTGTGTCATTGTGTAAGCCGTGTACCGGGGTGGGCTCCCCAGGATACAGTGAAGTCATGAACGAGGAAAGCAAGCCCTACACCAGCTTTTGCCACAACAGAATTTTACTTAGATGTGGCAAATAAACACAACCACAAATGCTAATGTAATAAATTTACATACACACCCAGCCCAGCGGCTGAGACCCTCGTGCTGCACAGCACGGCGCCTTCTGATGATTAGGGTAGAAAGAGTAGTAATTTACCTACTGGAGGGCACAACTAAGCTGCCACACCTTACCCGTTATTACCCTAAAAGAGCAGAAATCAGTGTATGGGTGTATGGTATGGGATAGCCTGCGGTGCAGCACAACAGCTTACAATCTTACACAAATCTACAGTATTCCCCCTCCCATAACTGGTCCTGTAGCACATGCCTGAGTATTACTTCTGAGCAAAACACCAGTCTGGCTTGAGTTTGTAGGATTTTATCAGCTCTCCAATGTGAAATGTCACTTTAAGTTGTGGAGTCCTTCCAATGATCAGTAACAACACTTGTGGCCTGACACAGAGACCCTAACTAACTAACTATAGGCCTGGACTCAGTCTCAAGGCGCCAACACTGAAATGAGGTGCATGCACGATCTTATTGACCCGGGTCTGCTTTGCATCTGCCTGTGACTCTGAACAGAACAAATGTCTCTCCAACAAGCATATGGTCTCGCCGTATATGTTGCTTAGTTCCTCTGCTCTCATCAGCATTCCTGGCAGCAATCTCATCAGCATTCCTGGCAGCAATCTCATCAGCTTCACTTAGCTGCAGCTCTGGTTACGGAGGGATGCTCTCACACCTGGATGTCATCAGATTCTCAGCTCACACAGCCCCCCTCATTCACCATTCTCCAGAACATGGCTGCTCTCTCTTCTTCCTGTTCTCTCTCATCTCTGTGTGAAAACTCCACCTCTTCATGAATATAGAAATATCTATGCAGTCTGAGGGCTGTGTTAGAAAACAGTGACATCTTGTGGCTAAACTGCAGAATGTCAGTCAAAACATTTAATTTACTCCACACAAGCAGTATTCAAACAATGAGAGCTGTTTCCCCATCTCACAATTGTACACCGCTGATCACGTGATAAAAGCCTGCAGGACACAGCGATCATGGAGATCGCTGGGTTTGCGCCTCCGGGGGCGCGCAGGAGTGCGCGTTCTGGGAGGATGTCATATGACGGCTATAGCACGGTTGGCAAGTGGTTAAGCAAGCTCAGTCTTCAGTACTTTCAGTGAGCCAAATCAGGCAGGCAGTAAAGTTGAGGTAAAGTCTGAAATTCTGATCTGCCTACAGCTTACATATTTCTCTCAATATAGGTTTCTATTACAGTAGGCACCTATAGTCCAGGTCTCTGCACATACATTTATCTTCTACAATGCACGGGAGATGCTGGAAATCTCCAAATACAGGGTTAGTGTTACTAAACCCAGGCCCCTGCATTCACTCTATCTGGTCTCCCACAGTACACAGAACATTGAAATGCAATTATTTTAGTAAATATGAACTGCTAAATACCTTTTTTTTATCAGCACTTAGAGCAGTCTTGTGACTTCTATCAGTGTCCAGCTGAGCACTGGTTAAAGCTTGTAGGAAGAGCTTACATTCTCCCCTGATTGTCCTATGAGGCTGCATAACCCCTGGCTGTAAGGGAATTCCTGTGAGATGGCTAATAAAAATGTGCATGCTCACTGCAATCTCCACATTATGGTGATCAGGCATACGCATGCACACAAAAATGCTAGATCGTGCACAAACACACGCACAGTGTATGTTGGTGCCAGACGGATAATTTAAAGGATGCTTCTGGCTATACTTAGTGCTGACTGGTCTTCAGCTGTTTCCCCTGCTGTATTCTTGTATGATTCCCTTATTGCTGATCAGGCTTGTTCCTGACCTGACTTCGAATTCTGTTCCTGACTTGTTGCTAAAGTCCCTGACCCAGCTCTGTTCCTGACTTCTGCTCTGCTCATGATTTGGTACTTCACTGTCCACATGTTGTTGACCTTGGCTATTCCTGTGACCTCGCTCCTGTCTCCAGTTCCAGCCTCCCTTTCTTGTTCGAGTTCTAGCCTGGCTTTCTCCTTTACCAGCTCTGCACACCATTGAGTGTTCCTCCTTCAAGCCTGCTGGAAGATCTGACATGCCACTGATCCTGAACCTGTTGTGCAAGCGGAGTTGGATTCCGGAGCATCCAGACTGTTCTTGAACAGGTGGTCTGCCAGTGTTTTCAGGACTCCAACTGCAAGTTCTTCTGGCAACATATGCTGGCACTCTTGTTCCCCAGGTCCCTCAGCAACCTCTGTTCCACTCTTCCAGCAGGGTCGGGGCTAGTGACACAAGTGAGGCTGATCATTTCACTCTCCTATCAGGTACGTGACACTGACCCTCTGTCTGGACAGCACTGATTGGCCTTGTGCTAATCACATGCACTCTCCCAATAAAATAAAAACTCCAGTAATACACACCAAACTAAGCATGTGGACCTTGCTTCCAAGGCTCTGTTCTATCAGCAGATAAATTGGGGAAAGTAGAAGGGGAGGACCAGAGAAGACAGGATCAAACATCCTTTTTTACACAATGCAGAGGATTAACCCCTTAGGTTTCCACAGTGAGTATAACAAGCATGTTTTACTGCATATACAGAATGATTTTATTGTTATGGGTTTAGTAACACTTTAAATATTATGGCATGTACCTCTTCATCTATTAGGCTTGGTTTACAATTGTGTGTCTGCATTATCATGCATTTTTGATGTGTTTAGGTGTGAACGGGCCCCATAGACAACAATTGAATTCCCCTTGTCACAGGAAGGTCAAAGAATGACAAATCAAACTAACATGAATGGGACGTAAGGTAGGGCAAAACCTTCCCTGGAGATGGTAGTATATGAAATAGATCTGATGTCCGTTTTTTGTGAGCCAGCAGTTTTTCCTGTACACATACCTCCTGAGACTATGTCAATTTCAGGAGTATATATTTGGACAGTTTTTCAGTCCTGAAAAACAAAAAAACAAATTACACATGAATAGCACCTAGAGGTCTACGCTAACACTTCAAAAAATGATTTCCCTCCCTGCCAACAATTTTTCAACTGTGCACTGCGAGCCATACATGCACAGTATAAAATCCCAACATTTGTGAAATCAGGAAAGTAAGGCTAGCCATACCCATATAGATCTCTCTTATTCAGTGTGGTGGTTGAAATTTAAGCTGTGTATTGCTAGCTTAAAGTGGGTTGTAAACCCTTATATATACACAGTGAAGTGACTGGCCTCAGGTGATACATACAGTTGTGGCCAAAATTATTCAACCCCCAATGCTGTAAAGGGGTTTAGGGACTATAGTGTACATTTGGAATTGTATTCAGAATCAAATCCTACAAGGACGTTGTAACTACCCAAATGCAACTAAATGACATCAATTGTTTATGTAATACAGTAGTAAATGGTTCTTATGTGGTTTCTTCATTGCCACAATTATTCAACCCCTTAAAGACTACCACTCTGAAGAACAGAGGTTCATACAGGTGCTTTCCATCAGGTATTGAAAACACCTGTGGATGTCACCGAGCAGCAATCAAGCATAATAAGCACCAATTAGGCAGCTTTAAAATGACTGTGATACTCTCAGCTCCTTCTAGACATTTACTGGTGTGGTTACAAACATGGTGAAGGCAAGAGAATGGTCCAGGAAGACAAGAGAAGAGGTGATTTCTCTTCACAGGAAGGGCAATGGCTATAAGAAGATTGCAAAGATGTTAAAACATACCAAGAGACACCTTAGGAAGCATCATTCGCAAATTCAAGGCAAAGGGCACTGTTGAAACGCTACCTGGTCGTGGCAGAAAGAAGATGCTGACTTCGACTGCTGTGCGCTACCTGAAGCGTAGAGTGGAGAGAAGTCCCCGTGTGACTGCTGAGGAACTGAGAAAAGATTTGTCAGATGTGGGTACAGAAGTTTCAGCCCAGACAATAAGACGCACACTGCGTAATGAAGGCCTCCGTGCCAGAACTCCCAGGCGTACCCCCTTGCTGTCTCCAAGAATAAATGAAGAGTCGACTGCAGTATGCCAAAAGCCATGTGGACAAACCACAAAAGTTGTGGGATAGTGTTCTGTGGACTGATGAAACAAAATTAGAACTGTTTGGGCCCATGGATCAACGCTATGTTTGGAGGAGGAAGAACAAGGCCTATGATGAAAAGAACACCTTGCCTACTGTGAAGCATGGTGGAGGGTCAATCATGCTTTGGGGCTGTTTTGCTTCTGCAGGTACAGGGAAGCTTCAGCGTGTGCAAGGTACCATGAATTCTCTTCAGTACCAGGAGATATTGGATGGAAACGTGATGCAGTCCGTCACACACCTGAGGCTTGGGAGACGTTGGACCTTTCAACAGGACAATGATCCCAAGCATACCTCCAAGTCCACTAGAGCATGGTTGCAGAGGAAAGGCTGGAACATTTTGGAGTGCCATCGCAGTCACCAGACTTAAATCCGATTGAGAACCTCTGGTGGGACTTAAAGAAAGCAGTTGCAGTGCGCAAGCCTAAGAATGTGACTGAACTGGAGGCCTTTGCCCATGAAGAATGGGCGAAGATACCCGTAGATCGCTGCAAGACACTTGTGTCAAGCTATGCTTCACGTTTAAAGCTGTTATAACTGTAAAAGGATGCTGTACTAAGTACTAAGATTGAATGTCACTTGGGGGTTGAATAAAACTGATAATGCTGTGAGCACAGAAAAAGACATTTGTGGTTATTTCATTATAACTGTTATGTTATATTTGTCTGACCTACAAGTGCCTCTTTAATGTAAATGTAAGCAAGATGACTGAATGATCAAAAGCAATGTCAAACTGGCCAAAACACTCAATTTCAGTGGGGTTGAATAATAATTTGGCCACAACTGTAGATATGAAACACATTCTCCTACATAAGTTTTACCTTATTATCTGCAGCCATTTCTTCTATACAGTCATGTACAGGCAACCTAGGGAAGCAAATGCAGACAGAGTGGCTGTGAAGATACAGATGATGAATAGGTGACTTCCTGTTTTACACCGTGCAATAGCTGCACCACAACTGGAGAGCATTTGTGGTGTGGCCCCATTCTATTGAATAGGTTGCTGCCTGTCAACTGCGACAGGAGGGATATTTTTTTCTGCAGCTGCAAAGCAAAATATTGTGGCTGCGGCTTGTGTACACACCCCCTATCCATTGCCTTTGTAGCTTAAAGTGGAACTATACTTACATTCAGTCCTGTGATGTGGTGTCCTGGAGCTTCCCATGGGCCAATTACATGAGAGTTCAGTCAACTCAGCATTGACCCCCAAATGTGTACATATGCAGCTCACTTTACAGGGTCGACAGGCACTTACGTAAACTTTCTGCATTAATAAATCCTGTTTGCCCAATTTTAATTTTTGCCATAAAGTTCCACTTTAAACCACTTCACAACTCCGCTATATCCGAATGACAGCTACAGCGCGGTTGTCCAGTTCTGGGAGAGCATCATCAGTGCCCATCATTATTGCATATCTGTGCAGCATCATCAGTGCCTCCTCATCAATGCCCACCAGTGCCACCTCATCAGTGCCACCTCACCAGTTCAGCATATCAGTGCCCATCAGTGCTGCCTATCCATGCCACCTCATCAGTGCCCATCAGTGCTGCCTATCAGTGCAGCCTCATCAAGGCACATCAGTGAAGGAGAAAAATTACCTGTTTGCCAATTTTTATAATAGAAACAAAGAAAAACTTTTTTTTTTCAATTTTTTGCTCGGTTTTTGTTTAAAGTGCAAAAAATAAACACCCCAGTGGCAATTAAATACCATAAAACAAAGCTCTATTTGTGTAAAACAAATTATAAAAATTTAATATGGGTACAATGTTGCATGACCGCGCAATTGTCATTCAAAGTGTGAGAGTGCTGAAAATTGGCCTGGGCACGAAGGGGGTGTTGTAGTATGTTCTATGCATGAAGGTAAAAAACCTCCTGTGTGCAACAGCACCCCCAGCCCCCCAATAGTTACCTGAGCCACATCCTGACTCAGTAATGTGTAAACAACCGCCTAGGTTCTTCCCCTCCTCACTGGCTGAGAAAGCAGCAGTAGCCATTGGCACGCCCGGACTGGCAATAGGGCTCACCAGGCATTCGCCCCGTGGGTTGGGGCTGACCGCGCCGCACAGTGGTAGGTGGTGACCGCACTCTGGAAAGGGCTAATATAAACTGTAGCCGCCGCTCACCTCCTGCTGTGAAGATATGCCTAAAGCAAGGCCGACAGGAGAAGCAGCAGTGACGGCTCCGGCAACAAGCAGGAAGCGTCACTTACACAGGGAAATCTCCTCGGCCAGCTACTGCACTGAAGGGACAAAGGCAGCCTCTCCTTCACTGGCCAGCACACTGCTACTGCTGTGTAGCGGCGGTGGATTGAACTGTCTCTTTGCTGGATGGCTGTCTCTTTGCTGGGCAGGCTTTTCTCTTTGCTGGTTGAGTGGTCTCTTTTTGCTGGATGGGCTGTCTCTTTGCTGGTTGAGCTGTTTCTTTGCTGGACAGGCTGTCTTTTTGCTGGATGGGGCCGTCTCTTTGCTGTACAGCCTGTCTCTTTGCTGGATGGGCTGTCTCTTTGCTGGACGGGATGTCCTGGCCAGGAAGGGGGGGAGGTAAATCCTCTGGAAGGCAAGTGGTTAATATCAGTTTAAGAGAAGGGGTGTTAAAAATGTGGTGCAACCGAGTACTTTTACTGCCCCCTCCTTCCCACAACCGTAAGTGTAAGCCAGCCCTTACTCAATGCAAATGGAAAAAAATGTTTTGCCTTTAATCATATAATGTGCACCACGGTGACTTTAACCTCCTGTAAGAAAGACTTGTTTTGCAGGAGGTTAAAGTTGAATTCCAGTCAATTTCTAAGCCTAAATCTGCTCCCACCCCATTCTAGGCCTGTTCTAGCTACCCTGTGGAAGAAAAGATGCCTATACTTACATATTCTGAGATTGCTTTGGTCCAATCACATGATCAGGTCCCAGCAGCAGTCTCAGTGTAGAGGAGGAACAGTCGACAATGGCTGCAGAGCCTGGCTAATGTCACCAATAGGCTTACTATGGGCATCCGTTGTCGGTGTTCCCCTCCTCTACATTGAAGCCAATGCTGGGACTCAATCATGTGACCAGACTGGAGCACCCTCAGAATATGTAAGAATATAGTACTTCTTTTCTTTACAGGGTGGTTACAATGGAGGTGAGAATAAGTTTAGGTTTAGTTAGAAACAACTGAGTACTGCCTGTGATTTTTTCTTTTATTTGCACTAACACAACTTTTCGAGACAAGATTTTGGAGGTGTACCTCCTTCTTCAAGGTCCAAGCAGTACTAATGCACAAAGTTTTTGCAGAATGTTAAAATAAGACAATCTCTGTGTAGGGGGACGACAAAAAAAACAAACAAATATACACAGCAATGGTAACTAACTAGCATAGTTAG